AGCACTTAGTAACGTGATCCGCCGTTGATTTGTCACATCTCGGCCTCTTTTCGGCCCCGCCAAGACACCGTCTGCCCTCCCGCGATCGATGGGATGATGCCGTGAAACAAAGAGGAGAAGGAGAGGAATTGATCCATGTTTGGAGGGTCGAGAACTCGAGGGGCGAACATGCACCGTGGCCAGGCTTAAGATGTACTCATGTCTTCTCCTTTCAGTGCATTTGCACTTAAAAAGTGTACAGTTCATGCTCCGGAAAGAGACAAGAACATTTTCACCTCACGAGCAAAATTCCTGAAGACGAACTTCTTGCTTTCCAGTTCTTGTTGATTAAAATCTTGCATTAAAATGTTGGGTTCGAAATCAAACTGTGGCCATTAGTTCAATCAAACCTGTAAACTGAAAAGAGTACTGTTAATTGATTGATCTACATGTAATCAGAAACTTGCAGACCTACATGTTGTACTGGGTTGAGGGATGGCATCAGTGTCCTTTCGGAAGACATTTGGCCGAGAATTGAGCACACATCTACACTGCAAAAATTTTGCTGGGAAGACCTCGGAAGAAGGCAGCTGCAGATGGTACGCATGTGTGTACATTGTACATGTATGTGTAATTGACACGAGTTGGGTCTTTTTTGGCCTTCGGCACAAAAGCCGGTTTCCCCCCCATTACCAACTGGAGCCCTTCCTGCCTCGTTGATTATCAGTGCGGTCGGCCGGTTCCTGCCACAGGTGGGAATGGGCGCTTGCCTAGCAAGGCATCGGCTAATGGGTTCAGATAAGTGTGAGATGGTGCCTGCCGCACCGGTCCCCCGTGCCCGTGCTAGTGTTGAGTGGATGGGAAAGAAATACCGGGGGAGTGCCTAATCGTCCGTAATCAATCAATTACGAGTATTATAATGGGGCCAGAAATTCTGTTTTACAGGTTTGGAAATTGAGAAGAAATTGTGAAGAATTAACTCATTTTTGTTCCCAGAAATTTTCTTTAGACGGGAAACATTATGATGCCGTGTTTTTTCATGTGCACCTTCCTATGGGAGCTCAATAGGTCACATCCCACCCCACTGCTTAAGGAAAATGCACAAAGCATGAATGTCATTAGGACAGGTCAATCATCCCATGTGTTTCAGTGAACTGGTCCATTTTTTGTGGGGGGGATTCAAAGACTATTGCTTTTTTTAACTAAAAACACAGCTTAAGAAATGAAGCAAAGAAAGTTGAATAAGAGCATGCCATATGGAATGAACATAACATTTGTAAATAGGATTGGATCTGAGCACTGTTAAGCACTGTATTTTGCAACAAAAGCCAAGTTGTCAATAGCACAGAAAATTGCAGCTCGTTTTGTGTCTCACTTTCAAACGTGTATGTGCGAAAACTCCACAGGTCCTACCTCTGAAGTGTACACAGCGCGGTCATCCAAGCTTCATTCTGGATAATTTCATTATGCTCGATTCCAGGGTCAGCACTGCCACGCTGACTGTTTCCACCTCCCTCTCGTGCCCACAGTCTCGTTGCACCAATCTTGTCCCCGATATTTATAGATGGCGCAAATATTTACTTTTGAGCTGGTCGGACACAGTTTAAATGTATTTGCATTTACTCAGAATGAGCATCAACGTTCCAGTATATTGAAAAGTTGCCGCAGTATCCGGCTCACGTACATCCTGGTGTGTCCGACTTCTCAGCTTGCAGTACCCAACCTTATTTCTGTGCAAATAGTTGGAAAACTTCCCTTTGTTAGTTTTGGGTTTCTGAAAGTATCACAGGCAGCTCGGGGCACAGCCTCTCTTGCCAGCATGTATATCTATAACGTGCATTTACTGGAAGGCACGTACATGTAATACGTGTTAATGTATTCGGTGCATGTTGTGCGTTATCGCTCGGCTGTGCATAACAAATCGATGGTCAAGCGTTGGGAGGACGGGGGTTGCTGTGCAGGGGGATGTGCAAGGGCCGGAGGCGATGACCGCTTGATTCGGTGGATGGCCAAGTAAGCGTGAGGCCAGGCCCGTGGGAAGGAGGACGATGAACACAAACACGCCTATGTGCTCGAGCTAAAGGAGTGCACATGATGATTTTTATTTTCAGATGTTTTTAAATGACACTAGCAGTGCACATGTAGTTGCTGCTTTTTGTAGTATTTGCTTCAGACATGAGAGAAAGCTTGTGCATTCTGATGACGGACAATAGCATTGCATTAGAGATCATTTTCATCATACGTGTACGTGCATATGTAAGTCTGAATATAATGACTCCCATAGAGCAGGTTAAGAAGTCAGTTTTACGCAGCAGTTTGTGATCATTTCAATCCATTCTCCGCCTGTCATTTGTACCCCCCGTGTGGAGAGAGAGTAAAGTGTCTTGCCTATGGACATTCGCTTCAAGATCACTATTTGGTTTGGTTGGTTCCATGTATGCGTACCACTTAATCTTTGTTTCTGTAATGATCGTCGGACTGTGGTACTTTCTTTCGCATTCAGAGTTCTGTCCATCATGAGACTGATCCCCCCTTACAGTGTGCTTATTTCCTATTGCGAATAAAAACAGTACCTGATGTTACTGCAGTGACACCAAGACTGCAAGGGCTTCGTTCTCTCCAACACTTGAGCAGCTACTGAATTGCATCTTTGTATTTTCCTTGATCCCACGCGTATACAAAACACAATTGTTTTTGGGTCAGCTTTGCAGTTCCTGTAATTGGCTTAGCGCACGGAGTAATCGTCTTTGGCTTCTGCTAGGCAATTCTAGTAATTGGCTTAGCGTCTTGAGAACAATGGAATACTGGTTCAATAGCGTAAACGTGCCGAGGACACCTGGAAGGCTAATGAAAAGAACGCCATCTGGATGTGCTCTGCCAACGAGACATCCAGACAGGGCAATGGGACATTTTTTCCCAGTACAAATCGGCTGGGACCACAGAGAACTCCAATTAGGCAGACTGCCCCTCGTGGGATCTCATTAATTGTTTTCAACCCATCTCTAACAAGCCCCCCAAATCCCCAGTGCGCACTGCCTGTGCTGTTCAAGAGATGTTTTCTCTTGATTATGGGGAAGGGGGGCAGCATTGTCTGCAACGGACAAGCGCTAATTGGCTAATGCTTTTAAGCTGTCCATTTGTGAAAGGGCCCGGCATTGATTTGTATGTGTTCCGGAAGATTACCACAATTTATTAGGACAGGGCAAGAGACAGGAAGACTTACAGGCAAAGGAGGGGAAAAAAAGAATAAAAGTGATTGCCTGACACAGAATGTATTGGGTGTGATGTCTAGTTTTCAGTGATTTTATTCAGTTGAACTGAAGGTTTGATTGGATCTCACCAAAAAAGCTTTTTTTGTTTAGTTTTATGTCTTCACATCCCGTTTCATGGAAAAACACTCTGATCCGCTATTAAGCTAGAAGAGACACTTTTCTGTGGGATCACACAAACAGAAGGTCGCTCACGAGATTGTTCAGAAATTTCTTTTGGGAGAATACAGTTTGGAAAACTGAATGGAATGGGGGGGGGAGGTGGGTTGAGGAACAGGTGGAATCCAACAGGGTGGCACTGAAAACTTCACACCACTTTTCCCACGCCTGACTGCTGTTGCACTGTTATGCGCATCTTTCCGGACTGGTCCTGTCAGCAAGTGTTCATGACGATCACCTACCTTGACCCCGCCAGGGTCTTATTTGAAGTTCCTATTTATTTCGGTTGTCCGAAATTTTTTCAGTGCTTCAGCTTACCAAACATCCTGTTCAGGTTTCTTTAAAGCACTTGCATTCTGCGTCAGCCAGGAAATACAGGAAAGTTTTTTTTTTTTCAGTCAAGCGTGCATTTAAATGGCCGCTCAAGAGCAATGTGGGTGAATATTTCTACGGGGTCTTGATTTCCTGGGCCGAATCTTTGAAGTCGGTGAGTGCTGGACCGCGCTATTCCCATCTGGCTTATAGCGTTTCAGGCGGATTCTTCTGATGTGGTTCAGAAGCCTGTAATGCTCTGGCCTAGTTTTTTATCATCTCGACGGAGTCTCGGTACGTTGGCTGTATTACGGTAGCCACAAATACCTGAAAACAAGGCTGGTGTGTTTTATAGGGCCTGCTCCCTTCATAAATCAGTGCAGGGCATCTCCAGTCGAGTTCCAAATTAGATTTTCAGAAAGGAGGCAGTTTTTTTTTTTCTTAATCCATGCCTATGATATCTTTGCCGTAATTCAGTGCCCCTTTGTGGTGCGACTTGGCCAAAGGCAGGCAAAATTGTCATAAATCACTGCGTCGTTAATGGCAGTGGGGCATAATGTGGCCATGTGGGACCAGTGGGCCTTATTGAGAAGTCGGCCATATTGAATTGAAAGGGAGGTTACCTTTGTTTTTTTTGGGGGGGGAGGAAGCTGAGAATAAAAATTTAAGCATGAAATAAAAGTTCCCTTTCAAATTAACCCGAACCATCTTGAATCCAACTAGCATACATGATTTCAAGGGTCAATAGGAGTTTGGGGTTAATATCATTTATGCTGATTTATGCTGAATTTGTGACAAATTACTTGTTATGTAAATGTTTTAAGCAAAATTAAAAAAAAAAAAGAATATGGTGTAAGATGTGAAATTCCAGATAGCCTGACCTCTCTCCATTGATTAGACTGAACCAGAATGCAATCAAAAATGGCATCCCTATTCAGTGGAGTCGATGCACAAAGAAGTTTGCTATTAAAGCCTAGAAACTTCCTGCTGAAGCAGAATGGACTACCAGCCAAAATTTCACATGGATGCACATTGCCTTTGGTCACCAGCCTATATTTTGACTAGCAAAAAAAACTTTGTCGGGCAAAATTTAAGTGGCTGCACGAAGCTGGACCTGGTTACAAAAATAGTAGTGCTCCTCAGTACACCACATATAAATTGCTGAGACGTCAAACGGGCAACCTGGTACATTGTCAGTGCCCAGGCTGTGAAAGCAATTATCCTACAGTCTTAAAGTGCGGATTGAAAAAGTCTGTTCTGTCTTTGTGTATTCGTCTCCAGCTCTATGACAAGATCAACACCAAGTCCAGCGAGCAGATGCCCAACAAGAAGGACATCCCCTCAGACAGCGTGCAGAGATCCAAAGACGTAAGTAGCAACCTTTGTCAGCACCTTGTATCCCCATTAGTGCTGCCGAGTACTGTAATTCTCGTCAGCTTGCACACTGGCATAACGCCCTCTCTTGACAAGTGACACCAGGAAGGCGTATTACACTCCCCCCCCCCGAGCAGACAAATCTGCATCCCCCCCCGCTAATCTAATCAGTTTCAGCCGGGCTTCAGTGCATGATTCATCGTCGTCATTTATGACGTCCGTGAGTGTATCTTTGAACCCCACCAAGTGTATCGCGGGGCCCTGTCCTCGCCTGAGTATGTAGGCTAACAGGCCCTAATCGACGCTGCTGCAGTTTCTTGCAGTGTGCGCTGGCGACGTTCCAGGGATTTTTTTGAGACCCGACACATGCCACCCGTGCGGCGTGGTCCCAGTAAATGCCGCCCTCTGCTGTCCACTTTTCAATCAGGGAGAAAAAGTCTATATTATCGGACAATCGATGGTAGGCATTTTTCTGGCTGAGTGATTATCACTTTGCACAGATAGCTTCATCCACCTCCTTCATTAGTCACTCTAATTAACGAGATTCACGGCCCGATTGTGAAGACAATAGATATGGAAAGGAACATCCAATGGCATGTTCCATTGCTGGTAAAATTAGCCTAATTAGTGCTGTCAAGGGGAAGATGACAAGGATTCCCTTCCCCCCTCTCCATTTCATACTTAATGAAGGGACTGTGTGCAAGAAATATGGGAGAGAGGTTGATCTGTTCATGTAGTGCTCATTGGGTTTGTTCCAGGTTGAAAATTGATGGAATTACAGGTGTTGCCACGTTGAAATGGGTTTTCAGTGTTTAAAGCAAATCTCCATCACATGTACAACGTGTGCTAAATGTGTGCTGGTACAAATTTACAGTAAACTAGAGACTTCACAAATATTTTGATCTCAAATGTGAAGTCAGTTGTTTTGTAGAAATGAGTTACTATAGAGTCTGAATATTTTGGCGTCTCGTATGTAAGGTGTCCTATCTGTGCACAAGTACCCCCTCACTGTTGGCAAACAGACAGTCTGGGGTGACTGCCAGGTGCTGTTGGTACACTGCTCACACTTCAACTGGCTACAGATTAGCAGGATTACGATTGGGTGTTCGGTAACCAGGCTGGCAGGAGCAAGCATGGGTATACAGCATTACCTCAAGTGGGATCACTGTTCGGTGTAAAAAATTAAGCGCCCTCGCTTGTTCACGTGTGAAGGTCACACAACCTTTCATTTTCGGGCCGAAGTTGGTAGAGCTGTGGAGGAGTGAAATTTGTTTGGCACAGTACAAACATGCTTGGGAAAAAAAAGATAGCCAACCAATCGGCCTCGCAAAGTCTATTACTCAAGACTGGTTCCCTATTCATTTTCAGTTGGCCCCCAAAAATCTGCTAAGCAGTGTTGTCTGTTATTAAGCTACTCTTTGAAGTTGGTCCCTGCAGTGCTAGTCAGAGACCGTTTCCAAATTACTGCTCTTAGCTGTGGCTTGAAAGTGTGCACAAGGCTATGGTTGTGGCTGCTGACCTTCCCCATAGAGTCGTGTGTAATTCCAAGCCGCGGCAAAGCAAATCGGACTTGGCCAGAGACTGGGTGAAGGATTCAGGCGCGTCCCCAGACTGACTGTCCTGAGAACCCCAATCAGGTTTGCTCGGGCCGTTGATTAGTCTTTTGATGGATGGGCTTAATGAATTCCTTCAGCATGCGTTTAACGAAAATCCACTTGGACGGGCCACTTCACCAGCCTTGCCTCGGGAATGCCTGTAGCAATTATGAAGACAGATAGAAGGTGTGTTGTTATTGTATTAAAGCAAAGGCAAGGTGGTATTATCAAACAAGGTGACATGCCGAGCTGGACTGAGGGCAGTAATTTTGAGGAGGTGGTGCAGAACCCCGGAACGATCTCTAGAATGAAATTAGGCGGCAGTGAAACATTGTCAGTTTTAAATCTAAATAAATTTAAGCTGAAAACTTGTTTTATTTTGAAAGGCTTTCAGTGTGTAATTTTGATAAATAATACACGACTCACTTTTTCTTTTAAATTTCTTACAAGGAATTTGCCCTTTTTACTGTATTGTAACGATTTTTATTCCAATTCTTTCATTATTTAATTGTGATTGTGCGAGTTTTGTTTGTTACTAATCGTTTTTTTTTTTTATTATTGTTTTTAAGTTTGGCTTTTTTTGTTAGGCGCATTTGATCAAATGTATTTTGACAAAATGTATATCTGGAAAATGCACAGTCTCAATACCACTATGTTAAATGGATGAAAACTGGTGAACATGTACCCGGTACATGCAACTGTGTATTCCCACGTGTGCCTCTTATTGACGGTTTGCACAAGTGACATGTAGGCATCTAACATATACCGGTAGGTACACTGAACACCTATGGTGCTGAAATCTCTAGATGTCGTTTCCTGCCTAAAGTGAAAAGGGGAGGGGGTGTGCAGTTTTCAAATTTAAAGACTAACAAAATTGTATCTGACGGTGTCTCCTTGTTGTGAACTTTTAGCACTGTTTTGACCCTGTAATGTTTGGTGAGTGCCAGTGAATCCTTGCAATTCCAATCTTCGGTTTTAGGTAGTTCGACGGGCAGAAACTTTAGAATGCAGTTGAAGTGTGGCTTGACTGGCCAGTTTAAAGTGCAAAGACTGTGTCACTGGCTTCTGCACGGTAATGGATTTTGATAGACTCGGGAATTTAAAGTTGCTGGCAATTTGTTTAAAGACTTAGAGATGCATGGTCCAATGTGGCTTTATGAGTTGGGGTAACCGGAGCCTTAATGAGATTCCAGGCTTCAAATGTCACTTCATATTATCCCCCCTGACGCTCGTTGCCATATCGAGTGGGGAAATCACATTGATTGGGATTCATAACCGCACCGAGCGAGTCGAAGCATTTCATCCCCGGTAAGCTAAGAGTCAAATCAAATTGGAAAAGACAAAATCCGGGCCAGGTGAACGGCGAAGCCGCTGAAAGTTTCTGATGGCAGGTGCCGACATTGAGAATACAGTGTCCGACTGTGCGAGGTTACTGTCTATATGAACTTCTGATCATCAGTAATTTCTCACCCATTCCCCATCAATATCATTGCGCAGACAGAAGCGGATTCAGCTACTCTGAGTGGAGCGGAGTAGGCGGTTTTTTTCTCTTATCAAAACTTAACGGCAGAAGGATGTGGTAGTAAAATTTTTAGATGGGAAGTTCATGTGGTCACCAAGCCCTGTTGGTACTATCCCCCAGCCCTTCTCTTTACTACCTGCCTATTGCTGTTATCTTGTCAGTCAGTACCCAGGTTACAACTCCATTCTCTGGGTTAGTTTATCAACTGAGAATTCAGCTTTGCAACGCTTAACTCCCCGAACAGAAGGCTTCTTGTGAAAATCTCCCAGTGGTTTTTGCTGTAGACTTGCTTGCCCGTGTTGCTGGTTTTGGAATTTCTTGATGTTGAAACACCCTGTTAGATTTCACGGTCATGATAATGCACTAGTACTAGACTGTGACCTTTCAGGTGTGGGGGGAGGGTCTTTTTGAAAACCATGGCCAGTTTTGTAAGCTGACTGGGTTTTTCTTTTGGTCGTCTTCATGTCAGCAGATCGTGGAGTTGCTACAGAGGAGCCCTCAAGACAGTCAAGAGAGCTACGAACTCCAGGCTATCCTGTCAGAACCACACTTCAGGGTAAGTACTCGTCCGGGGGGGGGTGGGGCATTGAAAAGGGGAGTGGGTAACTGTTAGGCACAGGCACACCCTGCATGGCTGAACATGTGCCCAGAGCCGAAGCCATATGGACAGAACATTAGTGCTCTAAGAGCAAGGTAGCAAAGCATTACAAATTCTCCTTGGCGCGTACACTCGGTAAGCGCCATCATTACAAAGCAAAGATCTGTAAACTTACGCAGACGCTTCACAAAGAGCGCAGGTGACTGTTTAAATACCACAGCATGGGTGATATAAAAAGGTACGATCTGGCTGGTTGGTGTTCCTTTGTCAGGGCTGAGATGAGATACATGTATGTGGATAACTTTCTGTTACTTGTAAGTATGGTACTGATAAATAATTGATAGATTGGACTGTTTAGTTTTAGCCCACACAAACTGGTTAGGATTAGACTAGTAATATCCATTGATTTCTAATGTCGTGTGTCTCCTTTTCCTCAATCTGAACTAATGGTGTACAGTTGTCAGGTATTCAGTATATTTTCTGGTTATTGTAGATTCGATTAAACCTGTTTACGTTTCCTAGTTGCCGTTTCCAAACTCCAGAGTAAATGGAAATGAGATTCAATGGAAGCCATGCAAAGATAAAGGCACCTGCCGATGGCCTTTGTGAAGAGCGAAAAGATCTGTTGATAATTGAAGCCTTCACACCTGAACTCCACACTACTCCAAACATGCTGTGGGGACAAACACACAATATTTGACCCGTTTTGTGGGGACGGAAAATGTAACGGGGACAGAAAAATGTCCCCACAACTCACTCCTACTTTGCCAAATGAAAGAAATTGTCCCTTCAACCCGGTGAAGGCCTGCCCTGCAGATCTTCAGACTGACAGGAAATGACGGAATCCTCTCGGAGCTCGTGTGTCCAAAGCTCCACAGTCACCACGTTCATAAAGTGCCTACATTGTCTGATTTTGGATTCCCACTTTGTTCAGAACCCTCTGAACTGTGCATCGTAGTAGTAAAACGTAGCATTCAGCCATTGCGTGCTGTTCAAGAAAGGTGGGCCTGTACTTCTAGTTGGAAAGGATTGCCACATGAGGGCAAATTTGATCAAGGATTTAAAAAAAAAAAGTCCTGTGGTTTATTTGGAATACTGGATTTCACTCGTAGTGATAATTATCTTGTAGTCATTAATGATGAGACAGATTAACATTCATGATTTCAGATTGAACCATCAAAAATGAAAATATACATCGTTATCGCTTAGGGTGGAGAGTAAAAGGAAATCCACTTCGGATGTGGTTCTATTTATATCACTGAGCCTTCCTTGGTATCTGCCGATAATCTTTAAAGTCCTCTCAGTGGAAAGGCCACTTGATTATTCCGTAAGATTTCCTTTCCGTGTTCCAAAGCCAACAGAATTACATCGGCAGTGCCTGCGGGCAAAGTGGAGGGGGGGGGGTCGGAAGGAAAAAAATGGCAAATATAATCCCGAGCGAATATGTGCCTGGCTCGTGCTATAGTGTTGAGATGCAATACGCCAGCCGACCATCTTTATATGTATACTCGTAATGCACAGAGCGTTGGACTCCGCTCAGCTTGCCCCGCTGCACAGCCACATTTTGGGGACTGCTTGAACACCAAGCAGTTCCTTCTCTCATCACCATGATTAAGGCCACTGAATTGTACCGAACACGAGGACAGTTCTTCACCTCCACTTGTCCCGCTCACCATTTAGTTTGCTGACGTGGGTGTCTTGTCCTGTCCTCTGCCATCATGTTATTATCGAAGAATTTCTTTGCAGTGCGCTGGTACATTAAAGGGTAGCCGCAATCAGTGTTTTTGATTACAAACTTTTTAAAATGCGCCTTTGTGCCTCAGTAAACCTTATTTTCAACTTTTGTTTCACCATTTCAAAGGGTATTTTAATGCCTTTTTAGTTTTTATGCTAATGAGTATTTCTATATTCATGAGCAAAACGGTGATATCATCTCAGGAAGAAGCCTCAATGTTACATTGGTTTGTACACAAAAAAGTCCCGCGTTTTGGTAGATTTTCCTGGACTAGCGTTTCCCTGCTTGTCTGATTCATTGTTGTTTATGTGCATCTTTTCAGTATTACATTCTGGGTTCATAATTTGAAGAGAAATACCTATTCACTGAACCATGTCTTCCCTAGATGACTTCACAGAAACAGCGCCCTCAGTTGTGTGGGAAAACGTCGATAATTTTGATGATTCAAAAGTGTGCACTTTTCAACGCCTTTAACCAAACAGGAGCGTGTAAGAGTTTTCATGCAATGAAAAAAAAGTACAAAGATACAGAGAAATTGTGTCGAAGGAAAAAATTCGCAGCGGCTACACTTTAAACTCGGGTCCAGTACGTACACTAGCCAGAAGTATGCGAGCATCTGGTGCTGCATAGGTACGGTGTGTTCTCTTTTGGCACCATTGGCAAGAAAAGAGGTGTTAAAATGTACACAGTTTGTATGTGGAGATATTCAGGCGCATATATTACAACATGCAACATTAGACACGCTGCTCCTGGAATAATGGAAAAATTTACTCAGGCTTCCTGTTTTTTGGGGGGTTTTTTCCGGGCTGGGATTAGAGCCAGGAATTCACTGTTTCCAAAAAGATCCCGGGGGGTTGCATTTGACAGAATTTTTCCTGATGTCGGGATTTTTTTTTCATCGGAATTTTTCCGATGTCAGGATAATTTTTTTCATCAGAATTTTTCCGATGTCAGGATATTTTTTTCATCAGAATTTTTCCGATGTCAGGATAATTTTTTTCATCAGAATTTTGAAATCTAGAAAATACCGAGACAACAAGGGTGTTGCTACTTATACAAGCTGACAGAAAACAAGAAATGGGCACTCAAGGGGGGGAGGGTACCGTCAGGCAAACACCCAAAAGTGTACCGTGGACCCTGTGCTGTCGTGGGGTCTCTCAAAACCTCTTGTTGGTTATTTTGCGGATGTTTCATTTCTCCGTCACCTCACCCCTGAACCCGAAATTGTCTTGGATCACTTGTGCACTTCGTTGAAAATAAGACACGTCGCTCAAAGGGGTTTGAATTTGCCAAAAAAGGTGTTACCCACGAGGCAGCAGGGCCTCCGTTTGATTACAAGCATAAAAAAGGTACTTTAATAAACCTTTGTAATTTTTTTCATTCCATATTAACTTGGAAAACCTCAATGAATGTGTACACATGCATACTCATCCATGTACACGCAGTAATATTGAAGATCCTGTTTTACCGGCTACCAGTCAAAGAAGAGAAACAGGCAGGAGAGACCGATCTCGTGCATATTCATCCCCTGCACCCTGAAGTCACAGCAGCCCCCCTCCCACACAGCACCCATTGGCCAAGTGATCCCCAGCCCCACTGCATATTCATAAGTCTTGACCCCTGACCTCCACACATCGGGGTCTGACTGTGGAGGAGGAGGGGAAGGGGGGGGCTGAGTAAAGCTGGTAGCATGGGATGTGACATGTTTTAATTTGCCGGTCAGACGGTACAGACAGACTGGCGGGGCAGACATCGAGAGTATTAGTCAGTTGCGGTTTGCAGCCGGGTGTGGGGAGACTGTGGAAGGTGGATTGGTTACCCTGTACATGTACACATCTTGAGAGCCCCAGCTACATATGGTCTGTGTTCCTGTAACCACTCATCCTCACAGGGCTAGGGGTAAGCTGTACTTCCTATTCTAGTGCCATTCATTAAAAAAAAAATAATAATTTCGGGCTGTCCTTTTTCTGGCAAATTTACAGGGATGTACCTGTAAGTTCACAAGCAAATACCCGAGTCTGGCTTTTAAAGCATATTTGACGTACTATATCGGTACCGTGTATGTGTCCATGCAATCTTTGTCCAGGCCTGTAGCTGAATGTTCAGAGCAAAGCGTTCCAGCTAGTTTGCATCTTTTATGTGTAAAGTAAAGCATATTTTCCTACTATTTGGTCAGTTTATCTGTAGACAATTTCTCCAGGTTACCCCTGGCAAGACTGCGTGATTAGTAGTAACATTTATTAGAACTCGTTTTAAGGTACCTGTGCCTCTTCCTGTGTTTGGTTTTTTTTTCTTTTTGCAGTGCACTGGACTCCAAAGCAAAGAATATTGTTTAGGAATGAGCCTTTTGTCAGTTAAATTTCCAAAAAAATCTGGTACACTGAGTTATTTGATTGCACATGAACGTAATTCGAATTCCCCAGACTAAAGACACTTGCGATATCTCGTGATTTGGGGCAAGCTTTTGCATAGTGACCACCATCTCTGGAATGGACTGGTTCCTTTGTGACCTTCTTATCCATTGAAAACAGTGTGTTGGTGCAAGGTGTCTCTCATGTAACTGAGCAAGGCTTCCCCCGAATCACGACGTATAGCAAGAGTGTCTTTAGGATGGCGAATTCAAATTGGTAAGTTCATGTGAATTTAAAGAATGTGTAGCGCATCAAATTTTAGTCACATTTAACTCACAAAAGGCTTCTTAGCCCAGATGTCAGTGCTGGGATTTTTTTTTTTTTTGGTGAGGTTTGGTGCATTTGCCAAAGAGTGGATCCGTCATGCTTTGGTTGCACATGCAACTGGATGCGGACATGTAGACGTCCATTTTGTGGCTGGTATCACAAATACTAAATTGTACTGCCATTGGGAGTCGTTTTGGGTGTTAAACAAACACTTAGCTCATAGCTGATGTGATAATTGATGGGGACAAAATATTGTCCATCCATGTACCCTGTACATATACATGAACATGCGTGTCTTTGGGTATCCAGTTACAAGGTAGTGTTTAGACAGTCTCTTTTGTCATGGTCATCAACAAAATTTTTTCTGTCAACAGCCTGTATGACGGAAACGTTTGACAACATTGCCCAAGTTCTCGCTGAAACCCCATTTGAGATTACTGATTTGAAGTCTAAAGCAGGTTTTCTTTTTCAGTTTTTCTTTCTTTAAATAAGTGTGCGGTAACCAATTATTTTAGTAATGGTCATTAAATTCTGTCAAGCCTGCC